TATATATATATATATATATATATATATATATATATATATATATATATATGTATGTCTATGTCGCCTGTCTCTGTTTCACAGATAGCCTGTCATAAATGTATTTGTTTTTGCTCTTCAATATTTCTGCTCATAAATATTTGTTGGCATATTCAATTCAATATATATAAACATTTTTTTATCATAATTTTCCGCCATATATATTTTATACGATAAGCTATTTAAACACTTGCTGTGTGTTTGTTGGCTGATGCTTGAAAAACTGTGGAAATATGCTTAATAGGTTTTGCCAAGGACTTTAAATGCATGCGATATTTACAAAGCATGCACATTTGCCTGCATAAGAAGTGCCTTTTCAGCTTAGCTCCTTCAATAAAATATATTTAATATTTCTGGTATTTAATTCAAGCGAAATTTCAATAAAAACAAGCTGAAGTTTCAGCGCAATTGAATTTCATTTTAATTATTTAAATACAGCAAGTGAAACTTTCATAATTCTTATGACATTTAATAATTTAATCAATTTTCAAAATCTCAATGAAAGTTGTTTATATTTGATATATAATGAAATTAATTGAGTTTAGAAAACATATGTTGACAGACTTTGATGATTTAGCTGTCATAAAAGTTGAAGTAGAAGAGGCTTCAATTCGAAGGGCTCCGAGTGCCAATCTTAAAGACAAAGTTCAGTCAAAAATGAAGCTAAATGTGCATAATATATTTAGAATACATACTGCATTAGATATGTACATATATTAAATTTTATATAAATATTTAGAAGAGCTTTCAAAGAGTTTTCTATTTAATCTAATCACATCTTACAGTGAAAAGGAAAGTTCATAAGGACTAAGGATCTTATTAGATTCCAGGGCTGAAAAATAAGAAATAATTTAATTATACCCTCATCAACAAATGCTCATCTTAAGCAGCTCTTCAAAACCAAATATCCAAATAGGCTCCATATTAGATTCGCACTCGCCCTCGCACTCCACTCAAATTAGAGGCAGCCCATAATACAATATATCTTCTTTATATGCAACTCAATTATTTCTATAAATTTTCTATCATTACATTTCTCTCTCTCTCTCTCTCTCTCTATCTATCTCTCTCTCTCTCCCTATCTCTCTCTCTCTCTCTCTTTCTCTCTCTCCCTTATTTCTCTACCCTATAGTTTCCCTCTCTACGTAAATTGAAACCCATTGGATTGTCTCTCAAAGAGTACTGCGCTTTATTGTTAGTTCTCAACATATTCAAATGTTTCTCAGTGGCTTGCTTGTGTCAATTATGATAATTTCTTAAAATGCGATTAGATAGATAGGATATGCATATTGATTAAATATATATGTATGCGCACGCCCATGAATAAAAGCGCGTCTTCTTGATTAATTTGTAGATAGTATATAATAGACTCCATTATTCCATGCCTTAGAGCCTGGCTTTCATTTCCTCCAACATGCGATAGACTCGCACAAACTTCTTCTCCACCAGCTCGGTGAAGGCCTTGATCTCATTCCGTACTATGGATAGCTCCAATGCGGCTTCCGAGTTGCTGCCGTCGCACCGTTTGGAGGTTTTGTCGCTCTCATACCAACAGGCGATGCCATCGACATAATCGTCGACCAACTCGGGTGCCGTAATATCCTCCATAAAGGAAATATCCCGCTTCTTAACAAACGAGCTCATCAGCAGCTGCAGAAAGTCGCAGTTCCAGTTGTTCTGCTGAAAGTAGAAATACTGCAGAGCCTTCAGGCTGTCGAAGATCGTGATCTTCAGCGAGTAGAGGCTGTTGGCCGAGATGTCCAGCACTTGCAGCTGGCTCTGCTTCTTGAACAGATCCTCGGCCAGCTCGTGCATGTTGGTGGCCGACAAATTGAGACGCAGCAGTGCTGTATAGCGACGCAAGGGATTGCCCGGCAAGTTGCCCAGGGGATTGAGCGACAAGTCCAGCCCGGTCACATTGCTGGCCAAGGGAATGTGGGGCAGCTCGCGCAGGGAATTGTTATGCAAGTCCAGGTCCCGGATGATGCCGTACACGGTGAGGCGCCGCAAGTCGCAGCTGTGGGCCAGCACCTGCTCCAGCAGCGAGAAGTTCAAGGTGAGCTCATTCAATATGTTGCCCGAGATGTCCAGCAGGGAGAGACGCGGCTGCAGCTTCAACAGCTCCGACTCGAAGACCGTGAAGCGATTCGAGGCTAAGCTGAGACGCGTCAAATTCAAATTCTTATCGAAAATACCGCGTGGCAGCACTGACAGCCGATTGCCCGCCAAATTCAAGTCCAACAATTTACGCAACAGCCCAAACACACCCAGAGGCAGCTGCTCCAGCTGATTGAAGGCCAGCGATAGCTCCTTCAGCTCCTTGAGCGGATGAAAGCTGTGATTGTGCAGCGCTCGGATCAGATTATGATTTAAGTGCAGCGTCGCCAAATTGTCAGCGCCCATAAATATATTCTTGGGTATCTCCTTCAGCCGATTGTGGCCCAAGAAGAGGCTCATCAGGTTGCTGGCGCCCTCGAACTGCGGCTTCTCGAACGTATCCAGCGAGCAGTTCTCCATGCGCAGCATCTGCAGATCGGGAAACGTGTCGAACATCAGATGCGGTATTTTGGCAATGCTCGAATTGATGAAGGTAAGCATCGATTGCATGGTGATGGCCGTCGGCGAGATGATCACATAATCGTTGCGTCCAATATCGATGCCCGTGCAAATGCCGGCCGTGCAGTGATCCTGCAGCCGGATGCGACGCAGCTGCCCGCCAGCACCGCCGCTGGCCTCAGCGTACGCTGGCCGCTCCAAAAGCAACGGCAGCAGCAGCAGCAGCAGCGGCAGCTGTGGCAGCCACATCCCGTGCCACGTAGGACTCCCTCCGATCGACTTGAATCACAGAGAGTCGCGTTTCGACTAGCTGGCATGCGTCCAAGCGACGCGCACGCCACGGCGCAACTGGCTCAACTGTTTGCAACTGTTTGTTCGATTCGTTATCGTGGACCACAAAATCTGGCTGCGGGCCTTCAATTATGGCACGGGCAATGGCAAAGCCCCCAAAGGGGCTGCAACCCCATGCAGTGTGTCGAAACTCTGGAGTGCCCAAATACATTGCTTTTGATTTAATTCAATTAAATGCAGCACATACGCTTTGTTTTCCAACTAGGTTTTATGTAGCCCAAAAAATATATATAAATCTATATATACATATGTACAATTTTTTAGCGCATGTAAATATCACATGACATTATATTGTGTTTGTATTAGTTCTAGCTAAACTTTCAGTTTCATTCCCAGCTTACTCTATGCTAAACTAGACATTGTCTATTGCATATATACATATATGTGTATATTATATTTATGTATGTAATTGTTTTGTTTTTTTTTTTTTTAGTATTTTTTTCTATTGTCTGCCTGATGAAAATGAATGTTTTTTAAAGTAGGAAATACCAAAATGCTCGAAAAAAAAAAGGGGTTGAGCCCCGATTAGTTGAACTAAATATTACGAAATTCCATTGGAATTATAGCTCGAGCTATTTTTATAGCTACCAACAGTTTTTATTTTAGATTCAACTACAAAGAGCTAGATAATCACACATTTATATATACAATATTTCAAGTAAATAATGCTTTATGTTTTCAGATTTTCGATACTTCAATATTTATAGATTTCTCATTCAGTAAACAAACGCCAACACACACCTGTGACTCATTAATCCCGATCTGTAAGAAGATATACCAATTGATAGAGTTCTGTGCAAGCCAAGAAGAACCTGTTTAGGAAATGGTCAGCTGACCCAGTTTTCACATGGAGCGCTTGCCTAGGCAATTCAGCTTGATTAACTGGCCAATAAAGAGTTGACTGAACCCTTAATCAAAGACAAATTAATGTGATTTAAATGTGCAAAAAAAAAAAAAAAAAAAAAAAAAAAAAAAAAATTGTAGCCAAGTCAAAACAAAGCGTTTCCAAGAACCAATTGATAACATCTATTGAAGAACAGTTAGTATAAAAGGCCCGGACTCACAGCCACATCAGAACAGTAAACCGAGATGGCAGTCAGCGCTAAGATATTAGGTGAGAAACGAATTGAAGTAAATTGCAGAAAGAGAATTCCTTCCTAGCTCGATTCCCATTCCAGTTTTATTCCTCTGCCTGGGTCTAACTCAGGCGCGTCTGCGTCTCGTGCAGGCCACGGGGCGCAGCAGCGATTCGGAGACCAATCGAGATGAAGGTGTTCCGCAACTTGTGCTTTTTGCGCCCGGGGAGCCGCTCAAGCCGGAGGCCCAGAATGAGCCCAGCCTCCATGAGCCGCAGATTGTCGAGCCGGAGCCCGAGAAGGATGGCCGCAAGGTGCCGGACTATCTGTACCCCAATGCGATACCCATGCTGAACGAGCCCAACATCAAGTATCGCCTGCCCCAGCTAACAGCCTTCCCCCTCGCCTACGCACCGCAAATCGCCAGCAATCAGATTAGAACCTCCACGAGCAACAACAAAATCGCCCTGGATGCCGGCTCGTATGTGCTGGTGCCACGCATCCAACTGGGCTTCAACATGCAGAGCCAAGCAGGTCTCAGCCTGCCTGGCTTCAACCTCTTTCCCGGCACACAGCCCAACGAACCGGTTGAACAGAAGGAGCAGCAAACCGCATACATTCCGATTCCAGTGCCTGGACCACCTGGACCACCCGGACCACCGGGTCCACCCGGCCCACCAGGCCCACCCGGACCTCGTGGCTTCACCGGCGCAACTGGGCCCCGAGGCAGGGATGCGCCACGCGTCTCCTCCAGCAGCTCGGCCAGTGCAGCACAGCAGAGCCCACAAAGCATTTGGTTTGCCCAGAGCAACAGCAACATCAATGGCAACAATAAGCAGCCGTATGAGCATTACTCGAGTGGCTATCAAAACTGAAGAGCATTAAAATAAGAACAAAACATTTCAACTATGTAAATTGCGTTTGTTTTTTAGGATATGCGGGCAATGAGCAGATCCATGGTACTTGCCCGTAAACCTCTTATTGCAGCCTACAAACAAGACTTGGCCAATTCAATGTGGCATTCCATTCATTACTTAAATATATATATGTACATACATATATATATTCCCTCTCACTCTCTTGCTCTTTTGCATTGCTTCGTCTAAGTACAGTCGCACTTTTATATCGTTTCATTCATACAATTTTATATGGTTACCATATAACTGTATATATATTATGTGATTTGCTGTGTTGCTCAGACCATAAAGTGTCAATCTGAATGATATATATACACACACATACACACACGCACGCCTACAGCACGTACGCACACTAACACATTATGATGATTGTGTGTAATTTACATAGATTTTGATAGCGCTTGACGGGGGAACACAAGAACTGTCCTCTTTTTTTTCTATTTTTTTATTCTTTTTTTTTGTGGGTCTCCCATTGACGGCCATTCAATTGGCGACAGTTGATGGTTCACTCATGTTGCTGTTGTTGTTGTTGTTGTTGTTGTTGTTGTTGTTGCTGCTGTGTGTTGTGTGCCACCTGACTGGGACTGCTCTTTCACTGTCTCTCTCCCTCTGTCTCTGTCTCACTCTCTCTCACTTCAGCACGCTCTGTGACAAACACACACACGCAGTAATGTTATTAAGTGAGCACACTATACTAGCACCTACACACAACTAAACGCACTCACCCACACACACACCCATACACACACACACACACAGTGACACCTAACTGCTCATGTTTCATTCGTTTGTCGTTTGGGGTTGCCTGTCGCCTGCCCCGTTGATGATGGCAACAATCTGTGGCAGAGTCGCATCTTATTGTAGTCGTTAGTTTTTATTGCTCTTTACTGCACAGCATTTACAATAGTGGTACATGCATTGCTATTGCTTGTGTGTGTTGTTGTAGTTATCATTGCTGTTGTTGCTGCAGATCCGTTTACTCAAATTGATACGCAGCACGCATTTGTTTCAATTAAATGAAAATGTTTTATGTCCAACAAAGCTGCGCTCGCATTTACAACTGTAAACACGCACAGGAAAGGCACTTTTCACCATCCGGAGGTGTGTGTGTGTGTGTGTGAGTGTGAAATTTATATGTTTCTAATTGTGTTGAATTTCCAAGGGTTTAGTTGGAAATAAATCTTGTTTCGCCTTCTCTATAACAAAACAATCGATAGAAATCAAAGCCCAAAGTGTGAATGTCTATAAATTTATAGACGATATTTAAAAGCAATATTTATTATTTACATTTTCTATATATATTTTATAAATGAGAGTGAACAAATTAATTTGGAAAATATTCAAAAGTTATAATAATTCTTGACAACTCCATTTTATGCTTCTATAATAAATATTAAAATTATATTACGAAAAGTAAAAAAAAGGATATCATATTCAATGCCAAGCCAGTATATATACAGGAACCGGAAAATGAGGGCTTCATGCAAAAAGATGCTCAGTCAGCATTCAAATGTTGTTTTTGTAGGTCACATCGCTTACACAGGGAGCTCGGGGACTTGGGGAAACCAATTCTTAAGTGCTTATGTTACATTGCAAATTTTGTTTCTTAACAAAATCAGCCACGCCCGTTCCCCTGGCACGCCAGCTGAAATTCCAGCATGCGGATGAGTTGGGCACAGCTGTAAAACACATTCCTTATCTGTTAATGCGATGCAAGCGAGACAAGACTTAAGCCGCAGCCGCAGCCGAAGCCGAAGCCGGAGCGAGAGCCGTTGAAGATGACAGCAAACTCACAAAAGACAGGCATGATAAACAAAATGAGAACAGGCCGAAGTTGCGGCGGAACAGAAGGAGAATAAATGAAAATGGAAAAACTCAAAAGCGGTAAATAAATTAAATAAGCGAAAGTACGGCGAAACGTACATGTCAAAATAAAGCAGAAATATACACGTTTCGCATATGTATAAATAAATAATAAATTGAGCTCGAGTTGTGACGACTTAATTTTCATATAAAAAATTGAACATGACTTACTCGGAAAAACAAAACCCCAAGAATGTAATACAATTATAGGTAAGGTAATACATAATTAAATATAATTAGGTTGAAATTCTTAGATCTAACATATAACGTTTAGCTTTCCAAAAGTTTATATGATATGACAGGGCTCTAAATATTTCATACCAATGTGAATATACTCTATTTCCTTGCAATGCATTAGCGCAAAGGACTCCTTAGCAAAGAGACAGTATATCGATATGGTCTATATATAGAGTCTGCCTGAAGTTTACAATCAAATGCAGAGGTAGGAAATGAAGTTTACAAACTAAAATCCTAATCAGAGAATAAAGTTACTCAAGTCACATCAGAGACATGCACTTAGCTGACTGGAACTAATAAACTTCTCTTCCCTCTGTGAACAGGGTATTGTAAGGATATCTAATTCACATTCCTGGCTCTTTATCTGTATGCTCCGCCTTACACATTAAAAGCCAACGGCGCAATGTTGCTTTGTTGTTGTTTATTTTCTTGCTTTTATCTTCATTTTGTTGTTGCGCTCTCGTTTCGCGTGTGGATTAAGTTAAAATGTTAATAAATATGATTATCATATCGTTTTTCTCGCCGTTGCCAGTGCTGCCATTAACATGATTATGGCAATAAATAATAAAGTGCCTGCCACGCTTTGCCCCTTTCCACTTGCCACTTGCCACTTCTCACTTTCCACTTGGTTGTGAGGCAATCCGAGTAACGGCAGTTTTCGGTTACTCAACTCAATTTATGCTAACTCAAAAAAATATCAAAATACGCGGAAAATTGTCACAGCTAAGCTTCAGCTACGCAAATAAATTGTTGCTTTGATGTTTGTGTGACACGTGGCGTATACGCAATGTTAACACTGAAATTTTGTTTGTTGCATCAAACATCAAACAGCTGGAGAATTTCTCATTACATATTTGTACTCAAACGCTTTAAGTAGATCATGGATAAAGTTGTAAATTTTACAATAAGGAAAACAAAAAGCTTACAATATTTCAATTTTTAAAAGAATTTATATTCAAAATACAAATATTTTTTATTCATTTTTCATAAATTTTGGAATTTTCTAATCAAAAACAAAATTCTCCACAAAAGAATCCCAATGGAGAAAGTAATTCTGGCATTAAAAAAAATAGATTTTAAAATGTACTAAAACAAGACTTTAAAGCCAAGCGACTGTAGTTAGTCTGACAGTAACTGTCATAAAAAAATGTGCTTAATTGTTTAACGGCATAATACGAACAGGATGGGAGGGCTGCCAATGCAAATAGCCAGGCAAGGCTGGTTAGTTAGTTGAGGGCGTGGCAGGAACTGGAATTAAAACAAAAGTTGCCTGTAATTTGCAGTTTGCCAAGTCAGCGAAATGAACATTGGCCGGAATTGCGCCGTTTTGCGTACATAAAATATAGTCGGAACAAAAGGAGACGCAGATATATATATATAACATAGAGTGAGAGAGAGAGAGAAAGAGAGAGAGAGAGGGAGAATGAGAGAGGCCCAGTGAAATAAATAAATAATAGAGAGTAATGCCTGGCACAAAGATAATAGGATAAGGCAGCAGACGGCAAATGCAACAAGAGAGAAAACGTCGCCATTTTGATGCCAGCTTTTCCTTACACACCCTTCCCCCTCCCCAACGTTTCAACATTTCACTCTTTTGTTTTACTCTATGGTTGCACTTGCATATTTTATGAAGCGTATTTCGCTACTCGTGAAATAAGCAAATCATTTCGCTGAATTCAATTCACAATATATAATACATATATACTTATATATATATTATACTGTGAATCGATGCGATGCTCAAAGTAGTACACGACATTTCATTATTATTTATTCAGTGCACTCTCACTTTGGTTTGCCGTGAAACGCAGCTCCAGTGCGCCTATTTATCAATTTTTAATGCCAATCGCATCACAGTTCTTAAATGTTCTCTCAAGCATCTCCCCGGAGTATGGCATACTTTTGGGCATGTTTTGCCGCCAGTTCATTAAGGTGATTTATGACCCCGTGCTTTATGCTAAAACCCAAAAACTTTCACGCTTAAAGCCTGCCTAAAATCGTTGTCAAAAGTTCGTATTTAATATCAGCGCGAGGGTTTCACTTACCCTCCATGAAATGAGTACTTACAGAGCCCGCTCTGAGGCGCCAGTTGATTGTAAAATATTAAACTGTCCGAACTTGCTTACCTGCAAGAGTAGAGAGAAGAGAATGCGTTAGAATTTATGGCCGTTGTAAATTGAAGCTTGTGTTATTTAATTAAAATACTTTACTACAGCATTAGATGAAAGCAGAGCAGAGCCTTTAAAGTGATTCACCTGAGTTTTACTCTCATATTTGTGCAATGTTTGTCTCGCTTCTTCAGTAGCTTCTTTTTCTGCTCTCTTTTCTTAAATCTTTCAGCTTCCATCTGCTATCCACCGTCTCAGCTCGTTACATTACTTAATTCCTAATTACATTTTATGCTTAGCCTTAGCAAATGCCACCTAAAAGCTTCTTGCTTTCGTAATTCGTTTGATTTTTTCTCCACATACCTGCTATCATCTGGTTTAGCCGCTCGTTTATGCCGCACGGCTTTTCGTTTAGCTGCAATTATGCGGCACACTAATGACTTTTAATTAACTCTGAGATTTGTATACCTAACGCACATACGCTATAATCCGACTAACTGTTCTTATCTGGGTCATGTTCATGTTCGCTTATGGCGTCGACTAATGCGTGGCCCACCTGTAAGTTTTCGGTGTGTGTCTTTGTGTGTGTGTGCATGTGTGTGTGTGCGAGTGCTGGCCAAACGTGTCTGCTGCTCACACATTTACTGCTGCTCCATTAGATAGCATTAGCCATAAAAATAGCCCAAAGCGGCGCCATTTCAAATGCAGGCGCCACTTGGTCTTGCTGAAAGCCAAAAGCTTAATTAC